CCGCATCAAGCAACAGATAGTCCAAGTTGCCTATGAGCTGTACTTATCTCTTGAGTTAGAGGTAGTACACCCAGGTTTTCCTATTTTTATGTTACACAAGTTTATTAGTGTTCAAACACGTATAGTTATGATGTAAAATGTTAATATTTCGAAGAAGTTATGTAATGTATAAGTCCCCAATGCCATAATGGACCACGAAATAAGAAGATTGTAAATTTTTTTGTAAAATAATGTATTGTAGAAGATTTGTAATGTGGAAGAGATGACGTGGGAAGATGAAGAAGATAGGGAATCTAGATATCCCTACATATTTACTCCTTCAAATGATTTGCAAAGTAGACAAAGAATAGACCAGCATTTGAGTGTTTGAGGTACGTTAGTTGGTGTTATAGGAGTTCATGTGTTGTTTCATATTATTTTGCATATGGTATTATCATTCGAGAATGAATATTCTTAAGGGTGAAGAATTTAATGCCCCATAAGTTTGTAATATTTAAAATAACAAACTTACGTTTGACATGCCAATTTATCATAATTTATATCAACTGTCATTGAGATGTAAGGAGAAAATGGAAATTGGATGGTTATATCAAGTAGTAAATATATAAAGTATCTTGAATTCATAGATGGAAGTTAGAGAGCGGGGGTACCTTGAAACAAAAAAATTTAAGTGAGGGATTTCTTATAAGAATGTTTTGATATGATCTTATTTATGTACTTATTTGGGATAAGTTTATGTTTCAATATACAATGAGTTCGGAGTCCTATAATATATTAAATCAAATTTCTATAAGTCTTATTTCCAACACACAAAATTGTTTGTCAGTACGATGTGATATTAAAGAGTTATGACCATTTTACCGTAGGCCATACGGGAAATCGGGTTACAGATTCGGGTCTGATTTGGCCAAAATTAGAAGGTGTTTTATTGACTTCAAGAAAGATAAATTTCACATTTTCTTAAAGGAAAACCTTCATCGTCCATTGAAGATATTTCCAAGACCTCTGAGTTAAGAAAACACCACCTTCTAGCTTGATTCTTCTTTGGCACATGTTCAGAGAAATGTTCTCCTTGTCGCAAACTACATTTTATGCTATTTATTATCAGTTATCATTGGGATTGAAGAATATTCATGTGTAATCTGGGTTTTAAGTTAAGTATATGGTTTAGATACTTTGAGGTAATGTTTTACACCTACTTTTCTTAGAATCTCATGGCTTAATGATGGAAATCAATTCATATGACCTACGCTTTGTTTTCATGCATATTCTTAAAGTTATAGAGTTTGGATGGAATTGTACCCTTGAGACAGATTTTTGTGCGCAACAAATAAAACCTTTTTGGTTGAGGTAAGTTTCCTCCCATCACTTCCCTCGTATTTTTATATTTTTATTTGTTTTGCGAGTCTTTGAGCCACGAGGCAAAGTTGGAGAGTCGTGGATCGAGGAACCCTTGTTGTTGTGTGGTTGTGAGATGTTTTGATGTGTATATTGATGTTATTAAAGTGATGGAGGGATGGAAAATTACTGCACCAATTTCAAGTGCCGCGTACGTAGGTTATCGATTGAATAGTGTGAAGTGTGCCTTGTTATATTACCTAGGGAGTTTGTTACTCTTGTGAGATATTGATAAACTCATGTTGTTGTTATTAGCTACTAGTTATTTTGATGTTGTAATTTTTTTATGTTGAGTTAAAAGTGGGTTGGTCGTGATGGCGACCATAAGGGCTTAGCAATTGGTTATGGCTTGTTTTTGTAGCCTAGTTGATTCTCCCATTATTGCATTACTTTTGGTTTTCCAAGCTTCTTAGAAGCACCTTAGGGGATTCGATTGAAAGGAATGTTAAAGCTTTTATTTCTCTTTTGGCATGATCCTAATGGTCTAATCTTGTTATGGCCAATATATTGTCATTATTTTACATGTAGCCTTGTCCTATTGAGTTGGCTAACACCATATGATATAATGCTTATCAGTGACACTCTACTCCATTCTTAGTGGCCTTGAAAAATATGTTATGATTGTATTTTGATCAATTATGATTACTTGTAATTGTTGTGATGCTTTAACGTATGGTTTCTGCCTATTAGTTTGTTTTAGCCTCAACAAACAGTGTTACTACAGGGTTGTTGAGCATACATATTGATTGTTATATTGTACCTATGGGCTAGGTAGACTGCGCCTACGAGTTGGGTATACAACGCCTACGGGTCGAGTAGACTTGTTTATTTTCTTGACTATGTGTGGATGATATGTGCCATTAGCATATAGTTCGGTAGGGTCGGTTCGGGCCTAAGTTTTTGCATTAGGTGTCAGATGCGCCTCTCGAATTTAGGGCGTTACATTTTTGTACAATATTTTTCACTTCACTATTAATTTATTTTTTTCTTGATATTCATTTATAAATTCACGCAAAATTATTTAGAATTCTGAAAATATAATTTGAAAAGAACACATTATTTCGAACTGACACTTTCTTCCAACAAACACCAAGCCCTATTCTGAATAGCTAAGTCCGCACCTTGTCAATCTAAAATTTTACCATAAATAAAAAGAGAAGTTACTGGAGTGTGAATTGCTCCAACAATAATAAATATTTTTTTATCATGGAAGAAAGTAATTGATAACCTTAGGTACACTGAGGAGATTAAATATCTTAAGGACACAGTGCATTCTGTAGTCTCAAATATTTTTTTCTTAAACAAGTTTTTTTTTCTATTTTTTCTAGTTAATAAAACTATTCTGGTCTTACTGTTTTGAACATAGTAATAAAACACTTATTTTAGACAATAGTTTCAAAAGACTAGATTTTTTAAAACTATATGCCTAGTCAAATACATTCATATAAATTGTGATGGAAGGATTAATGATTATTATCTCTAAAGCTCTGTGATTCCAATATATATTCTTTAATTAAAGGAGTGACCAAAGTTAAATTTTATTTAGAGCAACTTGCATAAATGACTACATTTATAGGGTCATTACAGTTTAATAGCTATAAGTACACAATTTAGACAAAATGACTACATTTTATATCAATATCTCGCTATATTAAAGTATTTTATATTTTTTTAATTATACACTGATACAGTTATAATTATAGTGTATTAAATAAGGTAACTTTTGGTACTATAATTAAATCCATATAATCACGTCTTGAAATTCTCAACTTCCAATTATTACATTAACAACTAATAATTACCTAGTCAATGCATATACTCTTGGATTCCAATCAGTTTTAAAAAAACTTGAGCTAAATCGTACACAAATCTTTATTGTCGTCATTGTTCTTGCTCAAGCGTAAGTTTTTTCACATAAGTTTATTTAGTTAAATTGACTTAATTAAATTTTCAAGGCAAAGAGTGCTTCTAAAGAAGCGTATTGGTTTTCTTCCTACCCAAAATCCAGCCCAAAAGTACTAGCATTTTTTTGTCTCCATTATTGCTTTCTACTTGTAGTTATTAAGGCTTCTTTGTCTTGCCAGTGTTGATGTGAATCATTCAGTTATGTGTTGTAAACTCAGATTGCATGTGAGCAATTCAAATCCACATATACTATTTATGTTTTCTTGATTTTTTTACTTGATGGCGGATTTATGTCGTGGAATTGTTCTTATGAGGTTCCATAAATCTAGGAGATAAAGGGTGCTTCGAAATTTTTTTATAAAAAAAAAATAGGCAAATTCCATGGCAAGTATATTATATCCCAAATTGCTTAATACAATTGTGTTAATATATCAATAAAACTGGACAATTTTGAAAAAAATGACAATGAACAATACTACAATACAATTATCTAAATGTATATGCATTCTACTGTATAAAAAATTGATACAATGTATACGTATACATTTAAATATTTTTAATGTATTTATGTATCAAAAAGCACTTATTTTCAATTGGACAATTCATTAAAAAATGACAAGTATCCAATGTATATGTATTATAATGTATTCAACATTTAAATACAATAATATAAGTGTAATTCAGATAAAGAAATATATTCATTCATTACCTCATTTGTATCAAAATGAATTTTAACATAATTAAATTGTATATTTGAATGCTGGTGAAATAACTTCTTTAAATTTTTTAACTAAAACAAAGAATCTTATGAATCAAGTCATATTCATAAACAATTCTCCACTTCATAGGATTTTTATAGAACACAAAACACAACTGTTCTAAAAGATATTCAACTGAGTTTTTTAAGAAATACATTCGCATTGACCGAATTGGTTTACAATCCAACCGCAACTTCCATGACATATCTAATTGTCATGACCATGGACATGGCCTTTCCAAGAATGCCTCCAGCCCAACACTACAAGACGATCTTTCTTTGCCCGGTAAAGAATCCAGAACCACATGACGACACACAATTCTTTTCTTGTTACATAGTTTCAATGCTTAGGTTGATGTATGGTGATGCCTTTGAAGGTTATGCCATGTCCGTATCCACCTCCCATCTCATTTTCTCTTCTCTTCGTTCTCAAAAAAAAATTCTATGAAAATTGATTAAACATATGGATGTATACAAATATAAACTTCATATAAATGAGAAAAAAATGCAATTAGAAGATACCAAATGAAGATGAATCACAAAAATCTAATTCCTACAATCAATTAGAAGGAAAATGAGGGGAAAAATAAAAAAGAGACATTGATACGGAGATATTGAAAGAGAAAAATATTGAATAAGGTAAATATGGGGAATAGAGCAGCATAAAATGAGCCTATAACATTTATTAGGCATGTAGTAATATCTTTTCTATCTAATAATCATCTAAATAAATAAAAAAAATTAGAAAATAAACTAACAATTTGTGTATAATAAAGTTTGCTATAGTTATATCCATATAACATAAATAACATAAACTGTATATAAATATTGATGTTTGCTATATTTCGTAGATTTTCCTTCTATTATTAACAAAAGGACCAACAAATAGGAAAAAGAAAAAGACACTAAGGATAAGGCCTACGAAAAAGTCCAATATGGAAAAAACAAAAAGACACAAAGACAAAAATAGAAAGAGCCTCCATTAAGCAAGTAGATGAAACATCACTATCAACTTCCAGCAACACAGAAGGAAGCATTGCTGGAAAATTGGTGGCGAACAGAAAGAGCTGGAGAATCACGATTCGTGGGAGGAGAGGAGCCTTTAATACTTGCAAATTCTAGGTAATCTTCAAGATCTAAGGTATGGAGTTTGGGTCAATCTTACATTGGACGTCTAAAAATTCTCACATATGCCGTGAAATCGATTTCCTCTTCAACTCCTTACTAATTAATATTTACTACAATTCTCAAAAACGATGTTGCGTTGATTGTATTTGAACTTGATTTATATGATTTTTAAAATATATATATATACATATACTCCCTTCGTTCCTTTTTATATGTCACCTTTTTAGATTGCACTTGCATTAAGAAATTAAGTTATTTTACTCTTCTACCCTTATTCAATATTTTCTGAAGTGAACTTTTCAATAAATGATGAATATGCTAGATTTCAAAAATGAAAATGCATTATGATGACTATTTAAATTTTGAATTTATTTTCAAAATTATATTTTATAGAATAGTGAATGGAGAGAGTAATTAATCAATGTATGAAGTACTTCAATGAATAATATTAATTACTTATTAGTTTTTCTAGGTTGGTCAAATTATATATTTTCAAAATGAATTAACTACTCTATCAGGGGTATAAGACGAAGAATATTATAATTTATGCATTAATATTATGAAATGATAAGTAATATGGTCCAACTATTTATAGAAAGGGATGACATATTAAAAGGAATGAAGAGAGTAATAAAAAAAGTATCACTCAACGGAAGGTTATCATTTATGTCGTCTTATCGATTCTTGTAAGGTCATCTTCCTAATTCAGTTATGTTGCTCATTCTACAAATTAAATTAAAGCAGACTTTTAGAAAAATTATTCAACAAATAATAAGTCTGAAAGATGAAACAATTTCAAAATGAATAAATCCTTGATTTTATAGTTGTGACATCATATCATGTGATATTCAGTTTTGGTGGGTGCTGTAAAGTTGGAAGAAAGAAATGCGTCAGCCAACATATTAGCAAGTCGAATTTGTGCTGCAGTTGTGAGATGAATACCATCAGGATTCAATGGTAATCCGTTTGCGTCAACCTTCACTGCATTTGGAAGTTCAACATCTATTTGAGCTTGTCTAACTATATCTACAAACTTTCCTTTAAACCATGGACTTGGAACATGTAGGATTACCTGTAAAATCACTTCAATTAGAATATCTGACATAAATTTTATTATAAAATCAAACACCAAGTATCATTATAATAATATCTTCATCGATATAATATAATTAACTGTGTTAATCATTTTATTTGGTTCAATCTTATCGGATCTGACTGGTAAATTTGAAATATAATTTTATCAGATCTCACTCGTGTTGTATCTTGATCAACTTATTCTATAATTATTATTTCATTTAAACCTCGCCTATTTGAATAATAATTTTATGGTTTACTATTAAATTGAATTAATTAATAATTATTTCAAATGTAATTACAATTAGTAACTAAGGATTAATAATTAAATAAATAGATTGCTATATATTATTATTTTATCAACTGATTATACCAAATTTAAACAAATTTTTGGTGAGCGTACGTTGATAATTCTATGAAGATAAATATCAATTTATTTGTCATGGCAAAAAACAAAATCACTTATAATAAATATATTTTTCGTTATAAGAATGCTTTATCATTATAACTACAATATAATAGGAAACTTTTGTAGCAATAAGTATAAGTTCTTAGTCACAAATCATGAAAAACTTGTAATTAATTTTTTATCATGCATATTGCTAAGAAAAAAAATATCATACAAAAGAGTTTAGCCAGAAGAAAATTCATATATAATCACATCATATTTTGTAGCAATATATGTTGTGTATTGTAGTTATAGCCTATTAATAAAACAAGATATTAATTTTTTTGGGCAATTTTCAATGGGTGAACACTTTGAGGATTCTCTTTAATTGTTTAATCATAAGTAACATTGTGTACTTAATACATAATTATATATTGAAGAAATATTAATGATTTTAGCTCATGAAATCACTAGAAATTGTTTCGTATGACCTTTCATATATATGTTCATCAATTTTGAACGTTCAAATACAAAATCTTTAGTTAACTATGAAAATCATCTCTATCACTTTTCTTGATATTGATTTTTGTTGATAAGATAGAGACATACTCCTATTCACTTCTATAAATTTTTTGTAACTTACTAAGTTAAAAGAAAGAAATAAGACTTTAGCAACTTAAAAATCAGTTAACAAATATCATAAGAAAAAGCTAATAATTAGCAAATTATAATCTTTAATTATTCTCTTATTAATTTGTCTTTAGTAATATCAGTTACACTTATAAAATTATTTTATGATACTCCTTCTAGTTCATATTAATTGAATTATTGGGTTAAAATATATTTCCAATATAAAAAATAAGGATAATTTTTTTAGGAATGTATCAGCGAGAGGAAACTGATGTATTGAGAGTAGATTTTTAATTTTTTTTTAAATGATAGGAAATTTTAGAGATTATGATAAAATAAGATGTTATTTAGGTAATTTTTCCTAAAAGTTAAAAGACTACTTTTTACTATTGGCTTTTTAATTATTTCTAAACAATTTTCATAGAAAATATAAAGTTCTTGAGAACCCCGTTAAAAGGAAGGATAAATATGAAGAAAAAAAACGTGTTAGTAAAATAAAATTCTGATGAAAAATCAAGGCCAGACGCGCCTAAGTTTATTTAGTCCAGTCAGCATTAAGGTGCGTTTGTCAAACTAATGAGTGATAATATAGGTGTGTTTCTCCTACTCCAAATAGTTTAGATATGAAACTAAAAAAAAAAAGATACAATTTAGGTGTGTTTTTTATAAACTTTACTCAACCAAAAAAATCGTGTCAACAATTATTTGGATAAGGGAAAACGAGGAAACATGTTAACATTAATGTTATGATAAGTTTAATGTGTTGATGCTATCTCATTTCGAGAAGCTCTAATCTTTCCAAAGAAGAATTTATTTGTGTATATTGTAGTATTATTTTTTATTAGAATTCTTCCGAGTTATAAGTTTCATTAGAAAGGAATGAAAGAAAGTAACCCAAATAAAATATGTATTTCATAGCATAATCTGATTATGACAAATTTATGAGTGTTATTTAATTAGTTTATCTTATTTATACAAACAATCACGTAAAATGCGGACTTATTAACTAATATTAAAATAAAAGGAGCGAATAAAAAAGAGAGAGAAAATCATAAGCATTCAAGTGGGAAGATGAGATGCAAGACATGCCCAAAAGAAGTGAAGAGCACAGACGTTTCTTCATCAACTTAAATTGAGTTATGAGCCCTGCCTTAGTTCATGCTTAAGGTTATCGAGATACAATTTCTATCTATTCCTGATTTTATAATATGGAATAAACATTACTTCAATATGAGTTAGTTTGAAGAAGTAATTAAAAAGTTTAAAGTTAATAAGTTATGTCTCAATCTGAGTGTTTGTTGCGAAAGACATACAATTAATTATGTCTTGAATCACAATTATTCTATGTTTTTATAGGGTAGATCACATATAGATATTTTTAGACCTTTCTAATCAAATAATTTTTCATAGTCTTTTATTTTTATTTACCATTTTCACGAAACACATACAATTAGAATCATGCTCGTTCAAAAACATAAGTTAGGCAAATTAGAGGAGTCTACAAGAATTTGACACAACCAAATTGACCCCCCATGAGTTTTACAGGTGCACCAAAACTAACAATATTATATATATAGATAGCAACACCTGGCACTTTCAGATTCTACTACCAATACTCTGTCTTGACATGTACCTAAAGCATACCCTATGATAATATCAGAAGCAATATGATTTTTTCAATTTGTATCTTGGCATGTACCTAATGTATAGCCTATGATAATATCAGAAACAATATGATTTTTTTATTTTTTAACTTTTAATATATATATATATATATATATATAAAAAAAAAAAAGAATAAGAGGGGCAGGAATGTACCATGAGAAGTGGAAGGTGAGGAAAGTTTAAGTCAGTGCGCAAGTTTTGAATGAATTTTTGGAATTTGGGTTTGTAACGAGTTGCATCAAACTTGGTCCTTGTATCACTCTCACCATGAAACCACAAGAGTCCTCGAAGTTGTCCTCCATCTTTAAGAGAAAAATTGACTTTTTTCACCAATTGGTCATATGGAATATTCCCGCGTGACCAATAGCGAATTCCTTTTCCAGACACAGAGCAAGGAACTAAACCTATTACACCAAAATTTGGATCCTTGTTAAGAATTGCATTAGCAAATGCCATTCCAGGCCCAATACCACAATTGCGAAGACAATCAACCCCATAATTTAGAGGCTCCTTAGCTATTTCCCAATGCAAATCAACATTAACCCTTAAAATATCTTCATTAGATTGACAATCGGGTGGTATAATACCATCCCAGTAAGAGTAAGATACTCCTCCTTGACCTGCCATATTACTTTGCCCTGCTAATATGAAGATCTGTTTGTTCAATTTGTAGGTGCTCATATTCCTTATTATATCTTTTTTAGGATTCATCACAATCCATAAATACGGTATAACAAAAACAAAAATTAAGATTAAAACTATTTCTTCACTTTTAGTTGGCAATTTGTTGCACTTGAAAAACATCTTGATCGATCACCCTCAACTCTTAATTTATCCTTTCCTAAATCATTGCAAATCACCCAATGCAGGCTTGTACAAAAAGGTATAGTTTGGAGAAATTCTAAATTCTCATTACCATATCGCAAAACAAACTATAATACATATGCATGCATGTTTCTTTGTTTCATTGTATAATTCTATCTCTACAAGGGAATGACGAATGAATGATTATATTTCTAAACTCAAGTATTTTGTTTCAATGTATCTATGATAAGTTTTGTCTATTCATTACTGAAATTTCCAAAACATTGTCTATAAAAGGTTTTACCTATTATTCACTTACTTGATTTATTCAATAATTCTGATTAATAAATTTTTTCATTAAGCTCTATTAAAAAAATTATATATCGGAAGGATCAAAAGGAATGATGTAAATATTTTAGTTTATTTTCACCAACTAAAAGTCGAGAACCCAAACAAATTATGAATACACAACAAATTAATCAGGACATTAATAGAGAACCAATTTTATGCTATAACCTACTCCTATTAGGTCGAATTCGTAAAAAATTAAAGACATGAAATTCTCGATAAAAAATTATACTCGCTCATGTGAGGCGCACATATTTTCATTGGTGTGAGGATTTCTTGGGCTATGAGAGAAGCGTTTTTAGAAAACAAAGCATACTAATCTGGCAAACAAAGCAAAAAAATGATTCTTACATTAATAAAATAGAATAGAAATGTTGTCACTAGAACGGATCATACAAATAACATCTTTCTAGTCGCCTAAAAGGAAGCCTTAAAAGATAAGATAAGGCTATGCGCACACAATCTGTACATTGTGGGACCCATAAATTACCCATTTCTTTTTTTATTTTGGTAATAAAGGATATTATATATCTAATAAATCAATAAAGGTTGAGGAAAAGTTACATATGATAATACTACATCAGAGATATTAGTATACCCATATTTTACTAGATTATTAAAAGTTCTGGCTGACATTTTTTAAGTGATAGTGTATACATGCTGATCTTCTAGTAGTTGCAGCGTCCATAAGGGTGGTGTTAGGAGGATTATACATTCTTTAATACCATTTTTCCTCGTATAAGTTGCTAGTATGTGTGCTAATTTGTTGCTCTCCCTAAAATTATGTTGGATTGTCAGATTCCCTAGTTTTTCCAGCCAATACCTGCATAAGGAAACAGGAGGTTTATAGATTAGATTAGTATCTTCGGTTAGAATTCGTATTATATCACTGGAATTGGTCTATATCTCCAAAGGCTTGAGGTGAAATTAGTCGGCCAACTCTGCTCCTTTAAGTAAGGAAAGAATTTCCATATGGGTAGAGGTAATTCCCATCAATTTGTAGTGGAAATCAACTTTCGAGTTTCCCAGGTCGTCCCGAATTGCCCCTCCGATGCCTCCTATGCGGTTTAAGGAGTCGAAGGATCCGTCAATATTGAGTTTGAAAGTATCTTTCAGAGGAGGTTCCACTTGACCTGGCTGGATTATAGTGGTTGGAGGAGGAGTGGAGGTTAATTCGATGGTGCAAGCTATGTTTTAAGAGGTATCATTTTCTTTCTATATCCTTACTTTTTCTCACCCATTTTAAACTTTTTCTTCTTCTTTTTCTTTCTCCTGACAAAACTTTCTTGCAATTTTTTCCTTCTACTTGTTAAATCTAAACGCAACTTTATTTTTCAAATCATAAAGAATTCTTGGGACTCGCCCACCATATCTAGCATGTCTATTTTATCTCTATATCATTTATTGAGGATAAATTGAAGTGGACATGTCCAGAAAATTTAAATCTTTTTTATTGGATGAGCTTGGATAAATTGAAGGTAGTGAAATTAAAAAAATAATAATCATAATATTTTATGTCTTAATTTCATAAAATTGAACTTCTTTGTTTTTCTACCTTATAAAATGATATATAAAAATATGAGAACTTAGATTTTTTGTTGACCTATCCATTTTTGAGTTTGTTTATAGATCAGACATTTGTTTTGGTAAAATTTTTCACTCTACTATTTACTAATAAATTATCCATAAACAATTCATCACTATATTTAATATGGACTATATAGATACATATTTAAAAATAAGAAATACACAGATATATGTATACTTTATATAACTTTTTAAAAAATAAAATAAAAATACTGTAGATATTAATCTTTTGCACTCTTGATTTGTATCCAGTTGTTTGTCTTCATGGAAATTAAATTCTTTGTATTTACTTTCTAATTTGATTTATATTTTAATTTTGATAATGCCAAGAGTGCATTTAACATTCAAATTAACTTGTATTTATTTATTTAATTAATATTTTTCAAATAAAATATTATCAAGATATTCTGGTATATTACAACAAAATTTCGAAGTGTTAACAAAATTTTTTTGGAAAGAAAGCATTATAATTCTTAGAAATGTTTAATTTCTTAAACAATGCAAATATTTTTTTTTGGAGGATGTTATATATAACTTGACTAAATTTTGTATTATCAAATATTTTTTAAGAAAATAATGATGAGTTGGAGATTTAGGACTCATTTCAGGCTTTTTTTCTCATAAAAAAGTAATGTCCTCAATGCTTATTTATACCCCTTTTGATCATAATTTAATAATATTTCAACTATGAAAGTTCTAAGGATACCTTGGAGTTGAAAAGAAGAGGAAGAAAGCAAAAGAAGAAAAAGGTAGTCAAGTTTGCACTGAGCATTGCGCATCAAGTTTGAAGCATAGTAAACTGACTTTCAGCTCTCCTAAAATAGCAGCCGCTACCTTTTAAATGCTCATCAAGTTGGCGACACAAAAAGGACATTCATAATATTACCGAATTGACTCAGCAAAGGTCTAGAGTATCTTCCAAATTCACAGTTGCCTGAAAAAAGAAATCAATTGCACAAACCGATTCAGCGAGGTGAGTGACAAATTGGTGTATTGCCAAACAATTATGTGAGTTCAATTAAGATCATTAAATTGTCTCGAAGAGCATTTTTGTGAATATTTTCTCAAAAATATAAATAGATTTTAAAATGAGAGAACACTTTCTTTACATTCTTTAAAATTCATAGTACATTCTCTACAAAACCCTTACAATTAGGAAGAATCTTGTAGTTAGAGATCTGGGAACCTTCTTGTGATTGAAGGCTTTTGAAGATTCATTTATGTAGGGATTCAACTCAATAACTATTATAGCTGATAATGTTGGTATTACTTTTTTAATTTATGTCATGAATAACTAATTTTCCTATTCTTAAGAGGGGTGCAATGTATGAATGATCAATCTACATTTCAGTATTGTTTATTTCACCCTCAAAACTAGGGGAGGCGTGAGCGGAACACAAAACCGTATTCAGTCAAGTTAGTCACTAAAATATACTAGCTAATTAAACTAAGGGCCCAAAAGGTCAGGTAACACAACATTTGAAATACTAAGCTGACCGTTAAGGTCATGACCTGAGTAACAATATGTCATATAAACAAAGGTAGGCAAGCCAAATTGTAACGCCCCGTATATTTTAAGGTAACTAACTCAGTAAGCTAAAGATATACGCGTCCAAAACTATATTTTTCATCTTACGTTGTTTGTTGATGAGTTGCCAGGAGAATAAGGTTCTAAAGGGATGATCATATTGGTTGTTACTCATTGTGCATCAACATAAGTGTCATAACAAGGTTACAAGTTAGAAGGTTACATTACGACAGATTATTTCATATAATCTCATATGTGGTCTAAATTGAGATAATCATATCTCCTAGCATATGAGGATTTATAGGTTATATAATATATAAAATTAAATACATGTGAGTGTAGTTTAATGAAATAAATCACTCATCAATAAGACTTCAGAGAAAATGGATATGCTTATTTTACTACGAACTACGCAGAAACCTAAATTGGTTGTGTTGGGAACGTGAGTAGCACATGTTATGTCATTACAAATATTTTAAAAATGATATGTATGAGGTGAATTCATTAGAGACATTTCCTAAGTTATTTATGAAGCTCCTCGTTTTTGGTTCTTGAAGCCCTCTCCTCTCCAAAAGCCCTAATTGAGAAATCAACCAAGAATCAAGTATTGTTCCTCAACCAAGCATATTATTCACTTAAGTCTGTCTTTGGAGTGAAGAGACAACCTTTCTTCTTGGTTAAATACAATCTTAAGGGACAACATCTGCTTCAAGCAAGGTATGTACATGTTCCCTTCTCTCATGTATGTGATGTTCTTCATGTTTTAGCTATATAAAATATGGGTACAACTCATAGGATGGTAATAGGGAGTCGTGAAAAAAAATTCCCCTCATGTTAATTGATGTTTTTGGTGAGGGATGTGTGCACTGGTCTTGTGGATGGAGGTTAATGTATTAGAGTCATTTAAGTGTAGTGTATTGTTGTTGGTAATATGAATGGATTAATACTACGAACACCTATTGATTTAAATTTCTCTTGAATTTACGCCCATCATGTGTTTGTTGAATAGACTAAATGACTTGGATGTGTTGTATAACTATTTAAAGTTGAATTTTCATTGGTTGTTGTTTTATATTGAAGGAGCAAGAGATAATCCAGACATTGTATTATGTTAAAGGACTCAAATAAAGGTTAGATACCCCTTTCCTCTATTTTCAAGAACCAATATACATCGTTGATTGGACTAGTATTCCTATGTTTTCAACTCCTATTAAGGTATTGTATGGTTCGGTTAAAAGGTTGGAAAAACATGGTGATTTTCTATAATTTTTATAATATTAAAATATATGAATATGACAAAAATGGCGATTTATATACAATTGTTTTCGTAGTTGTAAATTGTGTTTGGAGACCCCTTATCGTGAGCACTGTGAGCTGGTCCTATATGTGTTTTCATTTAAAAGTAGTTGTGTATGTGAGTTTCATGAAAAACATTAAGAACTATTGGTGATCATCGACACAATAAGTTTATAAACAGAGTAAAATAACATAATTTTTGACACGGGTAAAAGAAGCACCTTACGGATAGAATATATGTATATATACAGATCGTAAAAGAGTTGATCAAATAAAAATAAAAATATATGATCTCTTGTTCAAGCTATACGTGAAGGCATTGTAAATAGATTTGGTACATCATTCATAAGCCTATTGGATTCCTTATGACATCTAAACCTTCTAGCTATTGTTTAAGTATAGAGTAGGCATATTTATATGCTATTTGAAAGCTTTATATGTTACATGTACATAGTTACAATTCACGAGTCTTGAAGTGGCCTATTTAGGTTGCATTCTTAGAGTTAGATTGCATATGTGGTATAATTATTAGATACACTCGATATGAGCATGTTTGGCTTGGTAGATGATAGTGGTTATGACTTCATGTTACACTACCAATGGGGTAATGTCGGTAGGAAGCTATAGTACTATAGTTTACCACACCACCAGGCATGTCTAGTGGATAGATGTTTACTGAATCACCACAACACCACTGCATGCATGTCTGGTGGGTATATTCTTACTTTGTCACCATAATACCACGACAAACATGTCTGGTGGGCTGATTCTTACTCCGTCATTACACCACCAAGATGGCCATCTCGGCTAAGTAGGGTCGCTACTATGACATGATTATCATATAGTTCACCATTGGGGAGGTATGATTGGTATATGTGCTTAATTTGATGCATTAGAAGATAAATGTTAAGTCATTATCAAATCTCAGCTTCCGGAATCTCAGGTTTTTTCTATCCCTAACTGTAGTTTAGTATCTTTGATATACTCCGTTTTACCGCTTTTAGCCTTACATACCAGTACATGGTATTTTTACTGATGTCCCTACGCTTGTATACGCCACATTCATGATGCAGGTGCAGATACATGCTTTTATCGTTAGTTGCAATAGGAGTCTAACTTCAGCTGAGAGTTTGTATGCTTCTGTTTTTCAGGAGCCATTATCTGTTCTGAAAACTAAGTTTGTTACTCTTTAGAGGGTTTTGTGGACGCTAATGTATAGTTTTGTTCAGTTTGGTTTTATGGTCTTGTCGGCATTCCATTGTTCAGCTCAGTTACATTATGGCTTAGTTAACCTTATTTTTATCAAATTTTATTTAGTTGTGACCTTGTCGGTCTAGGAGGTTGTGATAGGTGGTCTGGTTGCCTGTGTATTACAATTTCATATGTTATATAGACAGCTTCTCAATTCAGTCAATATCGAGGCCAGTCGCACCCTACCTTAGTTTTAGGGCGTGACAAACCTTGTATCATAGCGAGGTCGTGTACTAAGGAGTCCACAAAGCCATGTATAGTAGAGTCTTTCTTATGGGTATGTGGTGCACCATAGTTACAATCATGAGGATATAGGAAACTTTGGTGTTGTTTCACATTTTCATGGACAATTCGTGCTATAGAGCGAAGTCATCAGGTTATATGATATCCTATTCATGTAATTATTTCAGAATATGTTGACGATGAGGTAGATATCTACACAATGTATAACTTCAGGAGATGGTAATATACGCCCACCTAATGAACAAAGATATAGATTAGAGGTTCAAAGCGAGTGTCCTGCTCCAGATATTACAGCCCCTCTTTCTCCAGGTAGAGCTACATTAGAAAAACATCCAACATCACCATTCCTAGTGATACACGAGGGTGACAAAGTTTTTGTACCTCCAACACCTATCAAACCTCCAGAATCTCTAAAAGGACTGGGCACTGAGGGAGCAATTAAGTTTATGGCTTGTAAAGATGTTGGACAGCATGAAAGTTTGAAGTAGCATAAAGCCTAGAAGTTGTGCGGGCTTGTGAGTTTCTGAACTTGATTCCTTTACTTTTCTGTAGATCTTATCCAAAGAAGATCCTCAGGATGTTATTGATAAGAATTGTAGAATATTGAAGGTGATGCGGGTTATAGTTATGGAGGGAGTAGAGCTAGGATCATTCACGCTATGTGATGTAGCTATATTATTTTATGAGGCATGGGAAAAAACTAACGAAACTAATGCACCTCCAGCTGGTGGAAAGAGTTCTCCTAGGTCTCTATAGAGCAGTACCTACAAGAAGACCTTCGACAGGCTCAAGTTGAGTAGTTCTTACATATGCAATAGGGTAATATGGGTATGCGTGAGTATAGCCTCAGATTTAATTCCTTGGCCATATATGATTCCCACATGGTGCAGACGAAGAAGGATAGAGTGTATCTATTTTTTTTTTTATGTTTAGGGTCTTATGTGGCTCATAAATGCTTAGGAATGTCTACTGAGACTGATACAAATATTGCACAAAAGCAGGCTCTTGCCCAAAGGGAGAAGGATTTGTTTCATCAGCTACGAGATACTCGTAGAGAGTAGAAACAGAGGAAGAGAGCTAAGACTGTTGTTTTCTAAGTGAACCTCAAGGGGACCACGAGGCTTTTTCATCCAGGCAATTGTCTAGACCTGTAGAGAGTAATTCATCCGTGTTACAGGTTTATATGAGAGATTAGAGTTCAGTCTCTCTGCAACGACTTGAGCATTCAGAGTAGGGAAGACCACCATTGCTGCATTGTGCTTAGTTGAGAAGGGCACATCCTGGACCATGTCATCAGGGGATAAAACTATTTTATATGTGTGGTAATTTAGGGCATATTAGGCGGTACTATCTTATTATAGAGAGAGAGAGAGGTTGTATGATTTAACAAACAGAATCATCATTAGCTTCATCAAGTTTCCCTCCAAGACTCGGTCCTCAATCCACTTCAGGAAGTGGAAGGTGTAGAGGGGGAGAGTCATCTGGTTGAAGGGACGTAAATTTTGTTTTATGCAATGGGTGGTCACCAGGACTAGGAGGTATCATTTGACATTGTCATAGGTACATTGATTAATTATTCTTAAATACTATATTTTTTTCTTGATAGAGCACTATGCAAGCTTATAATAAAGCAAATATATAAAAGTTATCACCACCTCAAGCAGTAAAACAAAGTTGTTATGGCTATGTTACTAACATAGACAATCATGAATGGTATTCATTGACAGGAGTGGCCGCTTTCTAGTCGTAGTTGGTACCGCCCCTGTTCACTTCAACATGCAAGGAACACATTCAAGAAGAATCAAAGTTTTTCTCCTCTGCAAAGCTATCAATGCTTTATTCAAGATCTTTAGCAGTCGATCGTTCATTCTCCCTCCCAGTGTCTTTCTAAAGCTCGACATGAAATAATAAAGAAAATAGGAAAAAAGAGTACGGGGATCCTGCTTCTACCCTCTTTTATGTTACTCTATTGGTTGCAAGTCAATTCGAAATATTTCTTGAATTATTATTTTAACCATCTATCATTTCTACTCTTATTTGTGAGTCTATATTAGGTAGCAGGGTTTATTGAAACAGTGTAGTGTTGGTATGTAGTAGATTTACCCGAGTTGATCTAAAAGAGCTTGATGATGTTTGTGTAATCAAGACACAACTTCCGATTCAAGTGTCTACGATAGTACAATAGTAATATAACCCAACCAAATGGGTTGGGGTCGAGTCCCAAGGGAGCAGTTTCTAAGAATTAAGAGTTAAGTGCAAGTATGCTAGAGTTAACCATAGCTAAAACTTTATCGAGTAAAATCATGATAAATTAAGGGGTTGGCATAAATGTCAATTATCAATGGGGGAGTTTGTATTCAATTAATGAACAAAAACAGTGAAAACAAAAAGATGCGAATATAGGAGACGAGATTCTTGGGATGTGATAGGAATATGGGATAAACTACACAATCGGGTAAATGCTATTGATAGTCAATTGCTGAACATTTGTAACTAGGCTAGACTTTAGTGGGGGTAAATTCTCTCTTGAGCAACTTACCCTGAATCAACTCAGTTTCTCTCGAACACCGAGTTGCCACTTTTAAGCACAACCTCCGCCTTAGCCCATTCACTCTCTCGAGCTGAATGTGTGTGAAAAACCCTAGGATTCACTCTCTCGAGCTGAACCCACGACGACCCAATAACCACCGGCTATCGATTAAGTAGTCTTAGTTTTAAAACCTGTCTCTCGAGCCAGCCAAAAACACTAAGATGAAATCGTATTTGCAACTACAATCCCATTAAGTTCAAACACAACTACTAAACGAAATCACATTTAAACAGCAAATAGACTAACAATAAGCAATACCCAACAGGAAATTTAACCCATATTCACAAAATCACACCCCAAGAATTGGGTTTTAGCTAGACATAGAAAAAGGAAGAAAATGATACCAAATCAAAGTAACATCAACTCGGTATGATTTATATTCACTTTAAACAAGTCTAAGATGAAGAATCTTCAACACCCACTTCAAATTTCTTGGAATTGGAAGTCTTCAAATCTTTAAAAGCTAAGCAAATATGTTCTCTACTTGTAAACTTAGAAAATAAAATTGTTGTATCTGAAATTGCATACTAAGATACAAATTTAAACTAATATTTATAGTTGTCAAAAAATGTGCTGCGAAGGTTCACTCGGCGCAGTTAGTTGGAATCGCCGATGCATTCGGCGATCTGCCCTTTGGTCTGCTTCATCGCCTTTCAGCTTTTGCCTTCAGCATCTTCGTGTTCTAGATCATTGGGCGATATAGTACTGCTTCACGGAACTGTTCAACGACACACTGACTGCTCCTTTTCATCGCCAACTTGATATTTCCCTTCAGGGCTCAGCACAATGGAACTTTGAGCGAGGTTAAGGCCATTCGGTGACTTACCGATTGCATTAGGGATCCTCAGGCCTTCTTTTCTCCATTTTTTTAGCCGTTTTGTTCCTTTTTGCCAAGTAGTGTCCAAGCCTTGCCTCAAACTCAAATACCTGAAACTTAAGGATTTACATCAGTTATTGAGACAAAATATGCATTTGAGGACACTAACTCTATTAAAATGGAGCCCTAAATGAGTCCAAACTGTGGACTCATCACTTGATATGGTTGATTTTTATGTTATTTTGGGCATGAAATGGATAGTAGCATGTTATAGTAATGTTGATTTCAATTTCCAGATGAGTTGGTCTTATAATGGAAGTGTAATGTTGCTATGCCTTAAGGTAAGTTTATTTCATACCTTAGAGTCCATAAGTTGATATCTAAAGGCTATATTTCATTTTGTTCAGGTTAGATACCTAGAAAGCGAACATGCAATTCTTAAATTTATTTTTGTTTTAAGTGGTTTCCAGGAGTTTTCCCACATGGTGTACATGGAGTCCTTCCTGAAAGGGAAATATATTTTGTCATTGATCTACTCCAAAGTACTCTGCCTCAATACCTCCTTATAAAATGGCTCTAGCAAAGTTGAGAAAGTTGAAGGAGAAATGGAAAGATTTGCTCGAGAAATGTTTCATATGGCCTAAAATAAAACAGAGGGTTGAACTAGTCATGTTTGTATGAAAAAAATATAAATCTTTATGAATTTGTATTAACTATAGAAATCTGAACAAAGTAACGATTATGAATAAGTATCCGCTCCTCACGATTTATGATTTATTTGACCAGTTGTAGGGAGCTAGATGTTTTTCCAAAATTGATTTGACGTCAGGACACCGCCAGTTACGAGTTAGACAAGTAGATGTCCATAAAACTACTTTCACAACCCGATATGGAGATTATGAGTTTCTGGTGATCTCATTTGGACTTACCGATGCACCAAAAACCTTTATGGATATGATTAACATGTAATTTAAGCCCTTTCTTTATGTGTTTGTGATCATCTTCATTCACTACATCTTGATTTATTTGCAATAAGAGGCCGAGCATGACCTAAGAGTTGTGCTACAGACTCTCCAAGAGCAAAGGGTGTACACTATGTTTTTTAAAAGTGAATTTGGTTAACATCTATAGATTTTCGTGGTCATCTAATTATAGATGAAGGTATAAGGGCTTATAGCTAGAAAATAGGAGCTATAAAGAGTTGGCCCATACCTATGAATCCTATAAGGGTTGGTAAATTTTTATGTTTACCGGGATATTATCACATATTTGTGGAATGTTTCTCTATTATCTCCGTATTGTTGACGAAGTTGACTCATAAAGCAGTTAAGTTTTAGTTGTTAGAGGCCTGTAAGAAAGGTTTCTACAAATTAAAGGATAAATTAACTTCAACACCTGTCTTGACCCTTCCTAAGGGTATATAGGGTTATGTTGTTTATTCTGATGCTTCCAAAGTTGGGTTGGGTTGTGTTTAGATGCATCATGACAAGGTTATTGCCTATGCTTCTACACAGTTGAGGAAGCACGACTAGAATCACCTACCCATGATCTAAGAATTTGCAATTGTAGTGTTTGCATTGAGGATATGATGCACTACTTTTATGTGGTACACATTTATATCTTCATGGATCATAAGAGTCTCAATTACTTGTTTAGTTAAAAGAGTTGAATTTAAGGTAGAGAAGGTGGTTAGAATTACTAAAATATTATGATGTGAGCATTCTATACCATCCAAGTAAATTAAATGTTGTGGCAAATTCTTTAAGTCGTAAGTCTATAAGCCATTTGAGTTATGTAGAGGCTGAAAATTTGAAATGGTAAAATCTATGGAACAATTGGCTAATTTACAGATTCTATTGCTTGATGTAGCACCTCAGAAATTGGTACTACAAGAAAATGGTGAATTACATGGAGATTTTCCTAGGGAGTAGTATGAAAATTTTTAGAAAAATAAGTTTCATGTGGATTTTCATACTAATCCCTAGGAAAATCCCCATGTAATTCACAATTTTCCTATAGTGTGGAAAGTCGTATTCGAAAAGAAAGGTTCAGTTTTGTCACTAAAGTAGTGAGTTACGAGTCCTATCTACGGACCATAGGAAGTTCTACAAGCTATAAAAGGAAAATGGTAGGGCTTAGGTTGAGTTTTTGAAATTTTAAGTCTCTTATGTTTGACCTATGAGTGAAAAGGATGAGTTCTATGTGTCATAGGTTGGATCCATAGCAGTAATCCATACTTAGTGAAATTTTGTACTTGAACATGGGTTCTACGTACCATAGAAGGAATGACAGATCGCAGAAGGGTCTCATGGAATTTGGATTATTTTTTGGGTTTCTGAAGTTTGTTCTACGGTTGACTAGTACAAGCCCTAGAAAGTCCTACGAATCGTAGGTCCTGTTCGACAGGTATTTCTTAAGGTTATTTGGTTCTTTTGCAATGAAACTAATACCTATACTAAATCGTTTTGGCCATATTTCTAAGTCTTATAACTACCTTTCAATTCCTAAAACTACCCAAACCCTCTCATTCTCTCAAATTCTCAATTCCCATCCAAGTTCCTTCTCTCCAATTCACTCTCAAGCTCAAGGAAGAAAAGCTATGGTTTCAAGCTTCAAGTTCTTCTCTTTCTCTTGATTTTCTATGGTTTGATATCAAGGTAGGTGGGAATCCACCAATGGATTTCATTCATCCATTGGTCCCCAAAGAATCTCATTCTCCAATTCAATTTCTTACCCAATTTGATTAGGGTTGCATGGAAATCTCCATGGATCCTCTTTGTTCTGATTCAATTGTTTGATTTCCAATCTTATTATGCATGATATGATTCAATTACATGATTTTCAATTGATTTCATATGGACCCGTGCATTATAATTGATCATCACTGTGAATTTATTAAGAAAACGTATGAACTTATGAATGATGATTTATGAAAGTGATGCATATTTGATGAAAATGATATTTTATGAACTAAGGATGCTTTTGAGATAAGTATCAATGAATTGTTAAATGTTTTCTCACATATTATGAAATCATGGTTGTGAAAATCCTTATCACATATGTATGAATCATGATTTAAAAGTGCTACTCTTATACATTTTTAAGATTTTGAATGGTATGGTGATTATTTCCATTTCAAATTTTATGCTTTGATAATTAACTTTATCTATTTTGTTGGTATTTAATTTTGCACCGACAAAACTTTGAGGTAGAGGCTCAAATACGGTAGTCTCTAGTAGCAATCTATAGTTCCAAACTATATGCCCCTATAGGATTATCTTAAATGACCTAGCTAGTGGATTTGACACAACCTTTATGATATGATACAAAGTTATACCTTGGCAAGTAGAATCTCCCTTCTCGGTGTGGGAGTTACATCGGATTCTATTTTATAGCTCACATAGTCTATTGTTAGTTAAAGCTAATATCCCACAAAATAATTATGACTTTTCCTTAAAAGCTTTAATTATGTCTTTGATTAATGTATGATATATGATTTCCCTCAAAGGCTTTAACAATTTTTTCGCTTGGTCATGCATATCATGTTTAAATTTCCCAAATGACCATGTTTATGTTTATACATATTTCTCCATACTTACTACATTCCATGTACTAATGCATACTTGTGCCTATACTATTTTATAATATAGGGTACAACACTTCTCTTCTCGCTCGTGGCTAGTTCAGATTTCTATCCCAGTTTAGTGGATTGGTGAGTCCTCATACTTCGAGGGGACAATCATGAAGCATTTTATTTCTTATGTTGTCTTTCATTTTCAGCCTTGTACATGGTGTATGAGTTACGTCCCAACCACTCTGATGTTGGTTTTAAAATGTCTTGTCAAGACATAGTTGGATTTTTGCACTTATGTTCGAAACTCTTTCATGATATTAGACGATTATTGCTTTCAATATCTAATATTATAATTCCTTATGTATGATGTATGTCAAGTGTCTTGTATAGGGCCTCTCGGGGTTCTATACTTCATGTCACATCTAGGGTATACTTTGGG